ACTGATTTGTTACACGAGTCGGATTTTCTATTTTATATATGTAATTACACTTCCTGTGACATATCGTTTGACTGATATATATTTTATATAGTCCATTTTTGGGAACCAATTTTTATGTTTTGACTACGTTTTTTCTATAATAAACCAATTACTTTTTTTTTTTTATATATACAGAAATCGGGATCGCAAGTAATGAGTTGAAGAAAATGTGATTTTGTGGTTTGTTAAATTATTTTTTAATGATTTTTTTTAAAAAAATAGCCAAGGAAATGAAGATAAACAAATAGTTTAAATCAACATGAAGTAGAAGGAATGTTTAAAGGACATTTGTGTTAATTGGAATGTTTTCATGCATGCTTCAGAATATTGTTTATTAAAATTTAAAAAATCTTTAATCTTTAATATAAAAAATATTTTACCTTTAGGGAAAAAATCACCAACTATTCCATGTAGCGAAGACCATGTTCAAATATATTCACTGCCAGGCATTTTTATCTGTTTATTTACTGGAGAAGAGGGTGATGAGAAATTAAGAAATTTACTTGGTGAAGAAGATTGGGTGGGCGATTAGATATTATGACAATAATCAGTATGTCTATCAATAATTATTGATTTTTTAATAGGTAAGGAAGTAATAGTTTTTATTTATTTATTTAATGTTTTTTTATTATTTATTATATTTAATGTTTAATTGAAATTAATATAATTATTATTGTTTTATATACAATTACAAAAAGGTATATATATATTTATAATTATTGTTTTAATATTTTTACTAATTTGGTTATAATTATAATATATTTGTTTGTAAATGTTTTTTTTTTCAACATGAATGTCTTTATTCCAAAATTATAGTGAATCTTCTAATTCTGTATAACGAGTCGTAAATACATCATTCAATTTCAATCATGATAAAATCTTCAAACATGCAAATTTTTTTTACAATCAAAACAAAATCGTAATACCTTTTATGTCAATAAAATAATGGTGGATTTGTCAGGAATTTTTTTTACAACGCAAAATTGGAGTTTTTAAAAATTTTAAAAATATGATCCCCATATTTTTGTTTTCCCAGATTTCGTACCCCAAAATGTTGCACAAATCGGTGGATATGTGATCTTGAATATCCTTTTTGGGAAGGCTATTTTTGGATCATGTGTTTATAGTAATACATACATTTTTTGCCGAATTACACGAATTGTCCTTCTTGTAAGGTTCCTCCTGGTAAGTCTGCAAGCATTTTGACTTGTTTCTCCTGGGAAGTTGGAGAGTTGGGTTCTTCATTGGTCTAGAATTGATGAAGTAATTGAAAATTAGCCCATAAAACTTGAAACATTTGTTTGTTATTGAACAATTTAAAGTTTTTTTTTTGAAAAGAATCCCACTTTTATATAATGCATTACTATGATGGTGTTTATTTGGTATAATCTATCACAATTATATTTATTGAAAAACGTAATAAATAAATTATTATCATTTAGAGTTAATAATTTACTATATTATTTTTGATTATTTTTAGTAGATTTTCCCTAACCATAATCTCTCATGGGTAGGCACGTATTGAGAATTTGAATTTAAGGATCAAGCATTTATTGAATAATAAAATAACAAGAGTAGTTCTAAGAAGAAAATATACAGTTGTTAAATTACATTGGTAATGACTAAATTTTATACCTGAAATTTGGTAATACAAATATTCATTTTGTCTGGTTTTGTTGCAGTATGCTCCATATTTGATTGATCCCTAATGAGATAATAGGATAAACCACTAATTTAGTTTCTGAGCCTGTGTTACATTGTATTTAACACCAATTCTTAACAAAATTTTTATAAAACAAAAAAATTGGTGCCTTAAGGCAAACTCTGAGATTGCAATTCCCGGATCCACAAGAAAATCTGTAATCTTGTGGATGAATGTCATAAAAGATTAGCAAGATGGTTGTGTGAAAACCACCATATAGTTTTGCTCCCTGAATTTAAAACACAAGATATGGTTGAAAAATGCGGTTCTAGAAAAATCCACTCTAAACAGCAAGACAAATGTTGACCTGGTCACATTACCGTTTTCGCCAATGTTTGCTCCACAAATCCCGTGAGTACTCTTGGTTCAAGGTCATCATCTGCACTGATGAATACACATGTGGATTTTGTGGAGTCATCAAGTCAAATTTGGGCGGTTCAAAGATCTTTAATTGTACATCTTGCAAAACCACCATTAATAGAGATGTAAACGGAACTCGAAATATACTTTTGAAGTATATTACAGGAAAACAACGAGAGTCGTTCGCGACGTTGAGGCTTACACCCGAGACACCTTATTGTAGGCTGTCTATGTAGGATTTGTACTTAGTATAGGTTCAATGTAAAAGGTTAGTATTATTTTTTTTTTTTAAATGGTTTAACATAATTAACATATCAATAATAATAATAATAATAATAATAATAATACCGGTTTTAATTTTAATCTTTAGATTATGTAATTTTTTGGGAAAAACTTCATTCCACACCCACCCCAAACACTGGAAGCCATATATATTCTAAAACAATCCAGAGAGTAATGGTAATATTTGTTGTTTGTTAGTCTAAATTTAATTTTCCTTTAAAATTCATTATCTCTATAATAAACGCGATCCAATTCAGAAGCTCAAAGAATGTCTTTTAACATGTTTACATAACTTGTTATGGTGGTATTGAATTCTAAATAAATCAGTCATACCTTTGATTTAAAGGAGGATTTTCAATGCCAGCTCTTAACAAAATTTTTTTTACTTTTCTTATGAGAATTTACTTTCTATTTTTACAAGCAATAAAAAATATGTAGTACTATCAATAATTTTTTTTATTCAAGTTTCGGAAATCAAAATCAAATTCTTACAAATATACATGGGGGTTCCCCCTGAGTGCAATTATACCAAAAAACTGGGAATTAAAGAGTTTATTGACAAATTGCCAAATCGTTGAAAAACCATTATTGCGGAAAAGGGCCAAAACCTTTCCGAAGGACAAAAACAATTAGTTATCTTGATGAGGACAGATTACAAACTGTAGATTTAAGGTCTTTTAGGGACCTATTTTTCTTTGATAACTCTACAATATTCACATGATTTATTAGTGTATTCCTTCAAATGACAACTTTACATTAAAGGTACTCGCGGGATTTATGGAGCGAGTGTTGATGAAATTGCAGATTTAATCATTTTTAATGACATTCGTTCATCCACAAGTTTACATGGATCTGGAGCATACATCGAGTTTATTATATCTTGATTTCTATTACAATCACAGTGATAGCGTCCGATAACTTCACATGGGTCTCGCTCCCACCCGGGTCAAGGGAAATGAAGCATGCATCTCTATTCTCTTCAACTACTGAAAACCTGGGGCCTTAGTTATTTAGGAATACGCAAACCAAGACGATTAATGATAATCTAGGCAATTTACTTGATACTTTTGAAAAACCGTTATTTATCCCCAATCGGTTGATCTAATGTGATTCGTAATTTTTTTTTTAGATTAAATTTCAATTTAAAAATCTTCTTTGTTGCGGCAATAGTTTTTTAATAGGTTACTCTTTACTGTTTTCCTAATTAGGGTATCAAAGAACCCCATTTAAGATCAGTCATTGGATGCAAAGTCCATACTCGGTTTAAAAGCTTGTTAAACTAAAGTAAATCAAATGGTGTAATTGTTTATTTTATGGCTCATATATAAAGAATATCGGAAGGCCAAAACTATTGTCATCTTTTATCTAAAAATAGTTTAGGCAACGTTCAATAGAGTTTTTTTTAATTTTTATTAAAAAAAGGTTTAAAGTTACTTTAAAATCATATCATTTATAAAACGTCAAATAATTACCATCCGATTCTGCAAAGTCTATTTCTGTCAAAAAATAACTGTAATGGACCCAGATTATTTGTTTGGTCATAAGGAAGATGGATAAAAATGATGATTCAGCTGATAAATTGGATGGATAAAATTGTATTAGATCGTCGTCCAACAATATAAAATTTGTCAATAATAAAATAATAATAGTAATAGTAATTGGATTAGTAAAATTCCTTTTTTTTTTCCAAAAAAAAAAAAAATTTATAATCATGGGAAATGACGGTGGATCGATTCCAAAACGCAATGAATTGGTAAAAGAAAAACAAAAAGAAGTCAGACCAGATCAAAATGCTTTAACAATTGCAATTTGGTTTTTTTGTGCACTTTCAAAACGACCTTTACAAGAACCTGTTGTATCGTGTGCTTTAGGAAAATTATATAATAAAGATGCAATAATAGAATACTTGTTAAATAATAGTGCTTATGGCGATGGTGACACTATATGTTCACACATTAACAGTTTAAAGGTAAAGAAGGGCTTTTTTTAAAATAATATTTTAATTTATATATATATTTTATTATTTACATTATTTTTTTATTTTTTATATATTAGGATGTAGTAACATTAAAACTTACTACAAATCTAATCTATAAAGAAAATCCCAACTCTCATTCTGATCAAGGAATGACATCAAAATTTGTATGTCCTATTACAATGAAAGAGATGAATGGTAAGTTGAAATTCGTTTATTTAAATACTTGTGGTTGTACATTTTCAGAACAAGGATTAAAAGAAGTACCTAGCGATACTTGTATTCAGGTAAGAATCGATTATGTGTGTTAATGTTAATTAGATATATATATATATATATATATATATATACTTATTTATTTATTTATCTATTTGGTTTTTTTTTTAATTTTGATAGTGTGGTAAACCTTTCAATGAGAAAAATGTTGTTGTGATAAATCCAAATCCAGTAGAACAAGAAAAATTAAGGATAGCATTAGTAGAAAAAAAAAGTAAATCTAAAAAAGAAAAAAGGAAACAAAAAACAGAACAAGAAAAAGCTGCCACTGTTGTAGAACCATTATCATCATCTATTTCTTCTTCTTCTTCTTCTTCTTCTAGCGATAAGCAGCAACAGCAACAGCAACAACAACCACAACCACAAGAAAATAAACGCAAACGTGATAATGAAAATTCTAATAATGTTCTTGCAGAGTCGTCATCGTCGTCGTCGTCATCACCATCAAAAAGAATTGCCATTATTCAACCACAGATTGGTGATGGTGGGATTGCATCTTCTGTTACAGCAGCTGTTAATCTAAAAGTACAGGAACATTTAGTTGTAGCAAATACAAAAGCTAAAAAATCAAAAGCCATTCAATCAATTTATGCAAAGAAAAATGATGATGAGAATAAAGTGTCTGAAAGTTATTTGGTTAGAGGAACATTTAATAGATATGCATAATTATTTATTTAATTATGATCCCTGGAATCTGGTTTATTTTTTTATGTAGTAATAATAACAATAATAAATTAATATTTCATTTTATTGGATATTAATTAATTAAGAACAAGTAACAAATTTTTAATAATATATATATATATATATATATACACATATAAAGAAATTTTTCATTATCCTGACCATTGTTTATTAGTTCTAAAGCTGAACTTTGAAAAGGTGCTGGTAATGATGGTTAACTTGACGGGTAATGATGATGATGATTGATTATTATTACTATTACTAAAAGAATTCATTTAGTCTTCGATGACAAATCATCATCAAAGAATTTTATTTATTTAAGATTTAAAAATACAAAATCAGCCATCTAATCAAATTCATCGAATTCACAAATATCAATTCCGATTTCTTTGGCTACTCCTCTAACATACTCATCAACACCCCCCTCCAATTCCTTAACCATATTATTTTTAACAAGATAAATAGTATCACATACATTTTCAACAAACCATCTATCGTGACTAACAATCAATACAGCTCCTTTAAAATCTCCTATCACCTTTACCAAAGTCTCGACCGTCAACATGTCTAAATGATTGGTAATTTCGTCCAATATTAATAAATTTGGCGAATTATAAACTTGTGATGAAAATGCTACCCTGGATTTTTGTCCTCCCGATAAAGATCTCATTGGCCTGATTGCTAAATCACCACTTATGCCAAATTTACCCAAGTACGATCTTGATTCACTTTCTGATATATTGTATTTCTCTCGAAGGTGGGTGTCAGCTGATATTTCTAAATCGAGCGAGTCGACATGATGTTGTGCAAAATAACCAATTTTTAATTCGGAATGTCGATTTATCATTCCTTTTGTTGGTTGTAAATTATCGGTGAATAGATTCATCAATGTGGATTTACCATCTCCATTCGATCCCACGAATCCTAATTTTGAAGTTTCGGTAATGTTCAAGGTGACATTTTTCAATATAAATCGTTTTGATTTTGGATATTTAAACGAAACATTTTCTACTTGTAACAATGATCCATGATGTCTTAACGGCGTGGGTTCTGGTATTTTCCAACTAACTTGAGTTTCTTCACGTTCCAAAACTATTTCGTCTCTAGCAGAGTTAAAATATCCTACTCTATGTTTATTAAGTTTAAATCGAAATCCATCGTCGCTTTTATTCATTCCTACTCTTTCAAGTTTCTTTTTTTTTATAAATATTTTGTTTGTAATGGTAAAATTATAAAATTTAATTTATATTATGAATATGTATACAATCATGTTACGAATATACACACACAAATAAATAACAACCTTTTTACGTGAAGCAACCATTCCTAATTTTTTGTCATCGCCACTTTCTTTTGCTTTTTTTTGAGCTTTCTGAATGCTTGCTTCAAGATGTTTCTTTTGTTTTTCTTGAGATTCATACATTCGTTCTTTCTTTATTCGCTCGTCTTGTTGATTCTTCTCATACTCGTCATAATTGCCAGTGTGATAAGTTAATTTCGCGTCTTTAAGTCTAATAATTTCGGTCACTGTATTATTTAAAAATCGTCTGTCATGTGATACTATTATAATTGTTGTATCGAAAAGTGTATTCAAATAGGATTGAAGCCACAAAATCGCTGGTAAATCTAAATGATTTGCTATTATTATTATTAAAAAATATTATTAAATTATTCATTAAATAAATACTATTGTAAAAATCATCTTATTGTTATTATAATATTACTAGGTTCATCCAGCAAAAGAATATCGGGTTGTAAGAATAATGCTTGTGCCAATGCCACTCTCTAAAAAAAGTAATTCGATATATTTAAATACTTGAGAAAAATCACCAAATAAAATGTTCGCGAATGCTTTAATTAATTACCATCTGCCAACCTCCTGAAAGCGACGATAAAGTCGATATTGGTGAATGTTGTAATTTATCAGAAAATCCTAAACCAACTAAAATTTCTTGTGCTCTGGCCTCAGCAGAATCGGCTTTAATCTAATGTTTTAAGAATAATAAAACAACTAGTTATAATTAATCATCATCATCATCATCATTGCTATCGCTACTATTGAAGAGTACCTGGTCGAGCTTTGTATAAACTTCTTCGAGCATTTCATGAATTATTGCTGTGTAATCTACACTTTGATCTTGACCCAAACTTTTTAATGCACTAAAAAATATAAAATCACATATAAATGCACGCATATAAATACAGACACATATAAATACGGTCGTATACAAACTTTTGAGCCTCTTCAACTTTAGCCTCGACGTTAACTAAATCTTGTCTAGCATCAAGACCTCTTCTACCGCTTCGTTGGATTGCAATTTTCCGAGAAAGATCTAAATCCATCTGTAATTTTTCCAAATTAACTGATTTAACAGCGAATTCAATTTTTTTGATTTCATTAGATTCGATTGCATTCTGTAGAATTTGTTTCTCATGCAACAATCTGGTTCGTTCTTTGTCAGCCTTAACTACCGTTTCTAAAACTGTCGTATTTTCTTCGACGCTTTCCAATTGTTCAATATACAAAACACGAATATTTTTTGGAAATCCGACAAGTTTATTATAACCAATAGATTTCAAAAATGCTATGAATTTAAAAAAATTTTGTTTATTTAATGATATTATCTAATAATGTTTGATTTTCTGCTTTCTTTCTTTTTCTTACTTGATTTTCCTACACCATTTCTTCCAATTAGCCCATAATGAACTCCTGTCTTGAATTTTACATGTGCATCCACCAACAATTCTTTATCGCCTACAATAACATTGACATCTTTTAAATCAACCTTTAAATTTATAAATAATAATATTATTATTTAATTATTTTTTTATAAGTAAAAAAAAAAAATAAATTAAATAAATACTTCTTTGGATAATGTTTCTAATGTCTCAGTATGAAATCTTGATTGTTGGGAGTATGCGACAACTTCTTCTACTGCAGTTTTCTTGCTGTCATCATTAGTGCTAGCAGTATTGATTAATTGTTTCTTTGATTTTTTGTCAACATTACTATTAATATTGTTGGTGTTAGTTTTCGTCTCTTTGTTAGATATGTCCAGCTACATATATATATATGTTGTAGAATGGATAGATGCGATAATTATTGAATATTAAGATTTTGTAATTAATAATAATAATAACAATAATAATAATAACAATCACCTGATTTATTTTATTTAGAACTTTATTAGATAATTTTTCTAATTCTTTATCATTATCGCTATTTTTAACGGTATTATTAGCAGCTAAATCAATATAAAGTTTTTCAATGTCGCTTTTAGGAATTCCAGCATCAACCAAAAATTGTTCGGTAACTTCTCGTAAATCCGTTTCGTTATTGTTGTTAGAGTCTAGGTCATCAATTAAACCTGTAATATAATCTTTAATTTCTTCACTGAATTCAACTGAAGAAGGTAATAAATCGAAGAATTTTTTAGATAATAAAGACATTTAATTAATAAACTTTTTATATATGTATTAATATTAATATACAAAAATTTGGAAAATGTCAACGAAAGATTCATTTAAATATTTTTAAAAAGGTCTGCGGCTAATAGTGCCAATTAATCTAAAAACAATCAAATGTTACATTAATATCAACATCATTATCATAATAAAACACACTTGATTCATATCCCTTTTTAGATATATAAAATTCAGTTCAAATGTGATAGAGAATGAATGTTAATACTACAGTCGTTGTTGTGTTTTTAAATGGAATATCAATATCATTATCATAATAAAACATACTTATTCATATCCTCTTTAGATATATAAAATTCAGTCCAAATGTGATAGAGAATGAATGATAATACTACAGTCGTTGTTGTATTTTTAAATGGAAGAACAATCTTTCAAAGAGAAGAAGCACTTTTTCTAAAACGATATTGAATGGTATTTATGACAATCATGAAATAATACGAAAGCTGATAAATGTTCATTACTAATTAGATATATATCACATGAATATTGAACTAAAAACTTATCTCTGATTATTAAAGAATAGTATCGTGAATTATCAATATTTCTAACCACTGTTCGTTTGTTCTGGTTGTTTTACTAGAATTGTTTGCTTTTATAATCATTTCTTCTCCATCATCTAGAGTTTCACGACTAACACACATATCAAATGATTTTTATAATTTGCCTTCAATACTTCATTATATGTTGCTGCTTTTAATATTTTCACTATTTTTCATTTGCCTGATTTCAATAAATTAGCTTTTATATTAAACAATTGGGCCCGAGTTTGCAACTGATAGTCTCAGGCCAATAATCCCTACATTTTGGAAGTTACAATGTATGGAATTTCGAATTATTACAATTAATATGTATACTGACGGTTTTGTAAAAAAAAAAAAAAAAAGGATGTAGGTCATGATTGGATTCTTTGCCTTTAAATAATTTATTATTTTTATCCATTTTCTCTCAACAATATAATAAACGGGATCCACAAAGATTTTTCCAGAAGAACATTCATTCGAAACTTATCTTTAGCTGATTTAAAAACGATGTTTTAAAAATATTTGAATGGCTTTTAATAACTTTGACTCTAAAATAGAATATTTGCAAATATCATGGATTTTCGTATATATTGAAACTTTTTTTTGTTACAATAAATTCAGCAAAAAAAAAAAAAAAGTGAACATGTTTAAAAATACGTTATAAACTCTTGCACTTTGAAAATTATTTCTAGCCCTAACAATATAAAGGATTGCTTGGATCTATTAGACCAAAGGAAGGTATGAATATTGTTATTATGTCTTATTATAGTTAATGCATTATAATAGCAATAAATAAGCATCTTATTAACTATGTAATATTTTTTTATTAGGCAAGAAGGATTAATAGTAATTACAAGTCGCAAAGTTCAATGCAGGCTTTCAACATTCTGCAAATGTATTGTTTTACGAATAAAAATATTCAATTCAAATGTGGGGCATAAAATTTTTTCCAGCTTGTCCATTAGATGATATTTTATTGATTTGGAGATATTATATTTGTGTTGCTTCAAACTATAGGCGCATTTTATCATTTTTGTCATTATGACGGCAACGGGAAGTTTTCAATCCAGCATTTTGTAAATTGTGCATATAAAAATATTGCTAATGAAGTCATTTGATTGTCTTGAAAATGATGATGGGTTTATTGTTCTTGAAAATAACTTAATAGTGGTGATCGGCATAGCAGTAAAATTATCCATTCAATTTCATTATGCGTCAGCCAATCACAGAAAAAGCCCATACAACAACATTTCCGTGTCACGTAAAAAAAAATCAATCGTATCAACAAAACAAGTTTACAAATGAGGAAGCAAAGTGAGCCATCGAGATTTTCATTTACGCTTACTCGAAAAATTATTATGTTATATAGTATTAATATGTTACTTTTTCAAATTTCAAAAAAAAAATTTTTTATACACATGCACATAAAATGAAATGAGAAAAAATTATTAGTCATCAATCTTTTTCCACACATAATTTCTTATCATTTTGCTTTATAGTTGCTTGATATTCCACAACATCACCTTCTTGTTTAAAATAAGTACCTCCAAGCAATATTCCTTTTTTTACTTCTTCTTCATAAATCATTTATTTGAGAATTAACCATCCGGAAAATATAAAAAAAATTTGCATGTGTTTAATAATAAAAAAGTGTAAAACTTACATTGATGCTGTAAGATTTATGCAATATTACATTAGCATTGTAAGATTTATGCAAGTTTACACTAAATTAATTTCCTGATGACAGTATTTAAATCATTCAAAGACAATGGTGCTTTTAGGCTTAGAGCAGGACTAATACACACAAATATAACAATCATGATTGTCTTAATATATTAATTTCTGATTGC